CTCAAACCGCCAGGATAACCGCCAGGGGAAGCGGCAATCCTATCCCCGTCTCTCCAGGCGGGTATAATGCCCGCTTTTTATGGTCTCAGTGGCTGCCTGGATAGACGTCCACCCTGGATGTCTATGAGGCCGTTTTTACTGCGTAAACCCTAGCAGTTAACGCCCAAATTATTTGCTGGGACCTTGATAATGAAGATTTGATGAAGATTTCAGATGTTTTCTCCCCATGTGAAAGCGCCAATTCAGCAATTGTTTTTGTCCCATTTCTGGGGGCCTTTCTTCCTCTTTTGGCAAGTTATTGTATCACAAATTTTTACAGTTGTCCTGTTTTGCACACCTCAGTTCTGGGGATTTTCTTGTCCTTTCATCTTTGTTGCATCCCAAGATGTGCAGATTAAATTATGAGTTACCGTATTTACTCAGGCACCATGCACACCTTTTTTCTCAAATTTCAGAAGAAAAAAAGGGGTACGCATTGTAATTGGGTACAAATTTTTCAAGAAGTTTTAGGAAGTTATGTGTGCATCATACTTAATTATAATGGAGAAATTTGGAAAAAATGTAACAAGAAAACTTTTTTGTACTGAAAAAGTTGAAAATTGATCAGATTTTTGTTCAATTCATGTCTACAGTCCAATTTTNGTAACAAGAAAACTTTTTTGTACTGAAAAAGTTGAAAATTGATTAGATTTTTGTTCAATTCATGTCTAAATTCAATTTTTTGTTTTTATTTTCGAAATTTTTTGGTTTCAGATTCATTAAAAATTGGGGTGCGTGTCTTACTTGGGGATAAGATTTTAGACAAATTTCCAACTGAAAAACCCCTGTGCGTGCCTTACTCAAGGGCGCTTGGTACTCAAGTAAATACGGTATTGCTTCGACTCTTGTTTCTGCCACCAGAAAGTTCCACACAGAGAAAAACCTTTATTGCATGGGTTTTCCCCCTCTCAGAAGTCATCCACAATAACAAACGTCTTGTTGGTAATCTCATTAAGGAAAATTCAGTCACTATATATATATGACATACCTATTGCATAAGCTGGCACATCTTCTCCCCCATGTGTCTCTCCTCCTTCTGGCTGGAATGTGGCTGCTTGTTGTCTGAAGTCAATGTCATGCGTCTTCACTCCAGTCACATTCCTCCAAGAAACATGTGTTGAATTGAGGGCGTAATTGTAGCCCACCCCATTGGCAAACATGAGGGTCGTGTATGGCAACTTGTAGTGGGGCTGAATGCCCGCAATCCCTTTATGAAGCCAATCAAATAAAAATAAAAGTGAGTAATTTGTAATCGCCTGTTATCAAGGTTTCTCCAGAAGAATAAGTTTTGCTTAATTTCCATTATTACCAGTATATAAATTTTTGGACTGCGGACAGGAATATGTCATGAAATTATTGCTATATACCATTTTGTTTGTATTTGATCGCATTTTCCTTGGAATCCCAAGAATAGTTCATGCAGGTGAAATATCATTCAAGCAAGGAATACTTTTTGTTCGATATCCATTGGATTTTTCGGGATAAAAGCCGGATGATTATGCCATAAAATCTTGCTAAACAGACGGTTTTGCATTTGAACACATTTTATTTTAGAGTCTCAGGAATACTTCACACAGGTGAAATATCATTCCAGTAAAGAATTTCTAAGGACCCTTGAAAAGTTCATAATATAATTACTGCATAATAAGGAAAACGCAGTAAAACGCCATTCCTGAAAAGTCTCATTCATGATTTGAAAACTAATGTAATATATCCCTTCTTTTCTGCTGCCAGAGATCAATTTCTCCAACTTTCAGCTTTCTGGAAATTTAGGAACAGTATCAAGAAAATATATAGAAACGTTTTCCATCAGAAAATACATCCCGTTACAACGAATATTATTATGAAGAATTTCTGCTTACAACGAATTTGTGGTTTTTGGTCCCTGCTCTCAATTTTATTTAAAATAATTTCCTTTATTAGCAAGTCTTTTTAAGGTAGCAAAGGCTTTGTTGAAAAGAGATTCTACAGTATCCTGAAGAAAGTTTGCATTGCACCAGCATGATAAAAAGAAGTTGTGTTACAATCAATAATAAAAAAGGAATTTCACCTTTAGACTAAATCATTGAACAATGCTGATGCAAATTAAAAGTAAAAAAAAAACCTCAGTAGAAAACAAGAATCATATTTTCCTAGAGTTTACAGGAATATTAAAAAATACAAAAAGTTTCCATTCCATTTCGTTTGATTGCGATTTTTGTGTCGGTCACGCGTTCACAGTCTTTAATTTGAAGAAAACAGTTTCAAAGTTTTGAGAAAATGATAACTGACCTAAAATCGGATTGCCACGTTTTGGATATCCATTCACGCTCATCACGTGCGAATGATCAGAAGCCACGATGATCAATGTTTCTTGAGTTTTTGTCAATTTCAAAGCCCGATCAATTGCTTCTTCAAATGCCAATAATTCCAAAATGGCGCGTTTTGCGTTATTGTTGTGCAAAGCGTGATCGATTCTTCCCCCTTCTACCTATAATTTAAACAAAAAAATAGAAAATTATTAATCGAAGTTTCTTCAACCTCGTAGGTAATTTTCAAGGTTTCGTTTTTATAATTACTAGAAGGACAAATCCGTTCTTGTTGTCCAAAATCTGGATCGCTGCTTCTGTCATCTCGCCCAAACTCGGCTCTTCGGATTTCTTTGCATCTTTGTCTCCGACGAATTCCATGTGCGAATTATGAAAAAGCCCTGGGGTTTTGAAAATTGCACAATCAAATCAATACATGATTTATTAAAATTTTTGGGGGAATACTTTTTAAAAATTATACAGGAGTAAATTTTGGTGGATCAAAAGTGTGAGGAGAATTTGATAAAATGGGAAAATGTGTGTCTTCTAGGTAGATGACAGTTGCTGAGTGAATTCTAGAAATTTTTGCTGTCAATTTTATGGCCAGAAAGTGGCTTTTTAAATGAGAAAATTGACAGAGAGCCAACTTTGTGTCTTCAAATTTAAAATATTCATCCTTGCCTCGTTGTATGAGTCAAAAAATCAACTTATTTACTTCCCCAAATGCTTCGTTTTTCAACGAGTCATACATACTGTACTCAATTTCCTCCCCAATTGATTTTAATTCATTTTAATGAACAGTGATATTTTTATTAGGTACGCAGATTCTGCCCGATAATTCCACGAGTCATCTGAAAAATATCCAATGAAAATTGCTGTCGGAATCGTTCAAAGATTCTCAAAAAATCCGGGTGAAATTATTCCTTTTTTTATAGAAAAATAATTGTTGAAGTATATATACAGCCCAATTTAAAAATTCTTTTCGAACCTAAAAGGAACTCCGTTGATCGATTCCGAGCAGCGTCCAGCAAATCATTCCTGCTGGTGACGAATCGGGATTTCCTTCCGAGTTGTGCAGAATTCTGCTGCCATTCATTTATCAAATTCCTACTGTCATTCCTGGATCCCCCCGAGGCAATCGGCAGGAAATTATGCGAACCGCCGCCGAGAACTACGTTGAAATTGCGTCCGGGCTCGGTTTCGATGAGCTGTCGCGAGATGTCACTGCACTTGGCGGCAGCTGGCTCTGGAATATGCGTATCCGACTCCCATTGCCTCGAGGGCGTGTGTGCAAATGCAGCTGCTGTTGTCGCATGTGTGACTCTTGTTGTCGTCACAATTCCTATCGGAAAAAAAAAATTACCAGTTTAAGAAAGGGAAGAATAGGACTGTCAGCTTTTTTTTTTAGAGCCAAGATTTTCTGTTGAAAAATTTAGTTCCTGCTTCCAGGAAACCATGAAATGAATAAAAATTTAGACTGGGGAATATAAACCTTGTGTGTAAATACCCATGAACTCTTCTTTTTTTGAAGAGCAAAGATTTTCTATTGTAAAATTCAGTTCCTGATGCTGCTTCCAGGAAACCATAAAATGAAATAAAAGTTTAAACTGGGGAATATAAACCAGGTGTGTTTAAATACCCATGTATTTTTTTTTGCAGAGCCAAGATTTTCTGTTGAAAAATTTAGTTCCTGCTTCCAGGAAACCATGAAATGAACCAAAAATTTAAAATTGGGAATAAAAAACGTGTGTGTGAATACTTATGCAGCCATTTTTGAAAAATCATGATTTTTGGCATTAGATAAATGGGGTGCACATGGGATAAAGTCGCCCCCCCCCCCCCCGAACCTCATGTTTAATATAAGTGTGCACCACTAGGTAATTTTGAGGGTGCTGGGTGGTACTCAAAAAAAAATCTGAAGATATTATTGTTGATGATTGCAAAAATGATTTAATAATGAAAAGTCCAAATAAAAATAATCGAATTGTAAATGCCAAATAAGAAATTATTTAATTGTCCATTCAAAGTTTAATTTATCCAATATATTGTAAATACCAGATAAAAATTATTTAAATGTAAATTCCTCAAACCTTTCGCCATATCATAAAGAATTCTATCTCAATTTCTGCATTTTGCATAAACTGTATTCATTATTTTTTACTGGAACGCATTTCTGATTAATCTCATAAAATAGTCTTCTATTGTGACACTTTTTAGAAGACTGGGGTGGGATTTAACACATCACTGACATCAGCCTATAGTCGTCGAAGGATAATGTTGAAAACTGAACAACAGAACTTGATAGAGAAAATACGTGGACACCATAAGAAACTTTTCTCGACGAACGAAGAGAAAGACTTATCAGAAAATGATTGGTTGCATCATCATTTGTGGTCAGCTCGAAAAAGACAAAACGACAGGTTATAATTGGTATCATGAAAATTGGACACGTGTGCTGTAATCGTAAAAGTTGAAACGTACTGTATTGACCTGCAACGATAAAGATTTATTAACAAACGACGTTACTTTGAGGCTTTATTTGGAAAAGATATAAACACTCGTTGGAGCAGAATACTAGTTAAGTATATTAAAGAATATTTTCATGTGAGCTTATCAACTTTTTGGACTCATGGGGGGTTTTTTTTTTTGGAGATCAAATTTTATTGCTGAATACTTTTTTTTTGTGAAAATCAGTTTTTATCGTCCCGGTCATCTTCAAGCTGATTTAATGGCCTACATATAAACCCTCGCAGTGATATTCTGTACTATCTTTTTGATTAAATGCACGTTTTTCCGATCAAGAGCATTTACAACAACATATCGATTTCACTTCTGCGTCTTAAACTTCAATTTCTTTATATACGGTATTCTTATTTTCTCTTGTATTTTTATTTGCAATTGCCAAAAAGCTCCCGTAAACTTCCCACTGATCATTGATAGGTGAAATATACAACTGCATGGGCAATCATATAGTTGAGTTCAAGTCCAGAATATGTTTGGTTGTGATAATCATATACTGTAATGACATTTTTCAGCGGAATCTTTTCATCTAAATTATTACTTTTCACGTGATGATAAACTTGTTTGACATCGAATAACCTGGAATTAAGGCTAGCTGTACAGTATCGTACAAGATGCTCCGATATACAGGGAAATTCTCTCCGACGATTTTGTTTGTGGTCTATATATTGAGTATCATTTGTAGAGAGTTAAATGGCGTTCATTTTTTCACGTTTATGATCCAAGTATTATATAGTTAGAATAAAAGAATGATTTCGTATTCATTCACACTGTGAGTACAGTATAGGAGTTAGAAATCAGGAACTGAAATTTCTCCAAAAGTTTTGGAAAAGCTATATACTGTAGAAACAAATCGTTTGAAATTCGTATTTTATTTTTTTTAACTTCAAAAAAAAAAATCTTCGACACGTTTACATAAAGGTCCTGCTGATGCTTCCACGTTTAATCTTCTTATTATTGCGCCCCACATCAGCTTCCGGAAGGTTCAAAGGGTACAGTATACCAATACAGGCATGGGATCTCGTGGGTATAACAATGATCAGATGAAAAAATAAATAAATGCTTCAAATGAATATGTGAAAATGTAGTAAAGAAATAAAGAAAGACAGATGAGGAGAGGAAATACGATGCGATTGAAACAGACGCGCCATATACAGTATATATGAACTCGACTGACCGGTTCTTTTCCCAGCCCGCTGAGCATGTGTCATGATGGAAGTGGGGAAGTGCTGGTTGTTCCTCATGGTTCTCACACAGTCCTGCAACTTGCCATGGGCATCCAGCCCAACTGTCATGAAGAGCCCGTTGACCCCAGTGAGCAGGGCTGTTGCGGTGCAACCCGAGTCCGGCACTTGTCTGTCCACGCAATACGTCTGTTATCATCAAATGAAGTTAAAAGAAAGATGTAATGAGAAAAAGAAATATTTGAAGGAAAATCAGAAGAAAATGAAATTCAAATAAATACTGACAGTGCTCTTTTCTCTCTCTCTCTCTCTCTCTCAACAAAATCAGAAAAGGAACAACAAAAAAAGACAGTACAGGTGGACTCTCTCTCTTTCCCTCTCTCTTATTGATGTATATTATTCAATTGCAAATTTTAAAATGCAGCCGCTGAAAATTCATGGAATGAGCCAATTTTTCTCTGAAAACTTTAACATGTGCTTGTTTTAATATGTGCTTGCGGTGACTCCTTTTTACCCTAATTTACTGCTAAAAATCAAGTAGTAGAGCGTCCGCAGTGCACCGAGTGTAAATCTTTTCTTTTATTTATTTATAAAAGAAAAATAAATAAATAAATTTGAATCCCAGTGGGATTCAAACCCATGCCTGCAGAACCAGACTGTGACCTGAACAAAGCGCCTTAGACCGCTTGGCCATCCTGAAAACTTAATGTAAAGGATGCGTTTTCCCTTCTGAGAAACAAACAGTAAACAAGGTGCAAAATCAATAGGCCACAGACACACGTTACACGACGTCCTTATTATTTCCCCCCCCCCCCCAGACCCCTGTAGGATCCTACTGCTCATTCCTCCCACTGCAGACGTTAAAGATTCGGTTATTATTCAAGCGCTTATATGTCATGTAAGTAAACAGAGTAGCTTTATTCCTAGTCCATGTGGATTCATGATATACAGTATTATAATCATAAATCATGATTCACACTGCTGACAAAAAAAATTGAATGCACTACATGTGAATATAAGGTAACCAAGTTCAAATACCCTGCATAGAAAACCAGAATTAGTTAATCTCTTTTGGATAATTTCTTGCACAAAAAATGTCAGTTTGGGAGTCCTTCGCATTCCGCATTTGTACTGCCCTATGATACCATATACGAAAATGGTCAAGCTCAACGCAATTTTTATTGTAAATATGATCATCGAATATATCTCGGACAATGTCACTATTAAGATTTTCCCATGATTTAACGTATTTTTTGATGTTGACGGCGCTTGACATAAAAATGAAATTTATTCCCGTAAAAGTTATTCACTCACAATGATGCACTGCACTTTTTAATTCCTTGTTCGTCTCCCACAATTAAACCTAGGCGGACAAAAATTAAAATGACGATTCAATGATATAGAAAATTCATAGAAGGAAACATTAAACCAACCATCAAAAAAGACGGAAGCTGAAGACTTGATATACATATTGGATAAAACGCTCACACTTCCTGTGAAGGTTAACTGGTTTCCTTCTGGAGTTGGAAAAAATCACGCGCTCGTTCATTGAGAACTTGATATATGGACTAAATTAATTTAAAAATAGAAATCAAGTATTATCCCGGGGAAAATGTTGAAGCTCAATTGAGAACATTTCTTGAGAACCAGTCCTTCCAGTCTTTTCAGATGCATTCCCAACGCAATGGAATAATGAATCAAGATATGGGAAAAAATACGGTATATGGAAACTAAAATATGATTTCCTTGAAAAAATGAAAACGCTTCCTCAAAGTCATTTCAAAGCCTCATAGTATGAAAAAAACACAGTTCTACAGGATTCAAAAGAGTGATTTTCTTATGTAAATTTATGAATTCAAGCTTTCATACACACGGAAAAAGCAAATGAAAATAATTGAAAATACTCACCCTCATGAGCCCCAAGTGAGGGAATTTTTCAAAGTTCAGGTACGTTTCTTCCCCGGGTTTTCCGGCTTGCTGGCCCTTGAAAATCCTAGAAGCTGTGATAATTGGCAATCCCATCCCATCGCCCACGAAGAGAATAACGTTTTTCGCCACTTGGCAATTCTTCTCCACGCTGAAGGCCCTCAACAGCTCCTCCTTTTTCGCCTTTGCGTAAAACTGTTTGTCTAAAAATGCATCAAAATTTGTGTTTGCTTTGTTATTATCGCGAAGGCATAGAAAACTTTCAACTACTCTATTTTGTGGCAATCACCTTCGAGCGTCGATGGTTTTTGTGCTGCTCCTGAATGCAAGTGTCCAAATGCCGCGAAAACAGCAATTAACTTCAGGAAACACATTATTTGCGGTACACGTCTTGCTTCGCCAATCATATCTTGCTTCATTCTGTGCAGCTCAGCTTAATTTAAATTTCTGCAAGAACTTTCAAATTGAAAAAAAACTCTCAAAAATCGGTGTTTCTTGATCATGAATGATTTCAAGGATATCAACCATACAGAAAATTGCAAATTTTAAAGATGCAATTTTGGACAAACACAAATAAGGAGCCACAAAGAAAAATCCACAAAAATGTCCAAACTTTTACAGAGACTCCCCATTAGAAAATATTAATGAATGAATGAATGAACAGCATGCTTTATTTTCCACTTTTCAGCATTCACAAGGTTCAAGCAATGTCCCCCCATCCAAACCCCCTCCCCTCCCAACCCAATTTCATCCAAACACATTCTTCACATCAGAATGCATAACAGATAAACAAGCTGTAAATTAATACTAAAAGAAAAGAAAATAAATTCTTTTCATTCATTCATTCATAAATTCCAAAAAAAGCAAGTGCACAACTTATATAACTGCATACTCTTTCTTCCCTTCCCTGTTCACAAAAACAAAAACAAACTATCAGTAATAAGAATTGCAGCATGAAGCAATCACTAAACCCAAATTAAAGCACAAGGTGTTCAAGCTGCTCCCAGATAAGGTTTAGTTGATTATAAACAATATGGAAAGAATCCTTATGGTGATGAGAAATCATGTAAGGTCAATAGATTACCTTGGACCTCTAATATTTTGGAAAGAGTATTTTCATTGAATTTTAAGGGTCCCAAAGCTTTAAAATGTTAAAATAAATCAGTTCTTTGTGCCAATGAGAGAAAAATTGAGTGAACTCCAAAAAATAAAAAATGTAAGAATCCTGAGCTTGTCCACATATACATGTTGCAGAAATAAATTCATTCATCTGCATTTGAAACAAGGCTTTTGAAGTTATTGTTTGCACCAAAAGCTTGTGCATCAGTGAGATAAAAATCTGGCATGAAGGTTTTCCAGATTCTTATCACTGAAGAAAAGTTAGGTTTAGAAAAGTGAGAATATCTCCAGATCTGTCAATTGGGTCAATTTTTATATGATACAAGAAAAGTTGAAGAACATATTTGGCTTCAATTTAAAATGTTGTGGAATTTGCTATGTGTAAAATTTGCGGAGTTACTTGCTTTGGAAGTTTGTGCGTCGGGAATTGCGCCATAGGCAAAGCATCTTTTCTTTGCTGATTTTATTTCTTTTTGAAAGTGAGTTCTTATTGCACAATGGGAGATTGTATTTGCTGCTTGTTTGTGTGATTGTTGTCTTCATGAAACCTGTGATCAGAGAAAATAAAAGAGTCCTCTTTTAACATCTGAAGCGTGAGGATGCTCCAGCTTCTCTTATTTTTCTTCAGCGCCATAATATAGTTTTGTACTTTTAAAATTAAATTCCTTTGGAGGCTGGGTATAACTGCCTCGGAACTCGCTCAGATGTCTCTTGCATCTGGAATATTTTTAATGCAGCTTAAAATCTGCAATATATACAGTTTCACAAAATAAAAATAAAACTAATTGTAACCAAAACTGTAACTCAACTCAAATTTAAATCTGAAAAAAGACTTTTCAAAGTATTTTCTCGCAACAGATAAACTTGCGGTCAAAAATTATCAGACAACTAAAAGAGCAGTATACTTTACGGTCAAATTGAAGAGAAATCGAATGAAAACTAACTTTTCACAATCAAAAATCACTTCCATTTTTCAGGGTCTCCAACCCTTTCACCAGCAAGCAAGATGTGCATTGATTCAAACGATTTTTTTTAATCCTGCAGCTGATTTTGTGCAATTTTCAGCAGGAAGAATCACAAACACAAACACACACAAACCACTTCAGCAATGAATAAGCAATCCGCACAAAATACAATTCGATATTTTCACATCACAAGAATCATGCCAAGCGAATCCAACAAACCGATAACAACCCGGGATATAGTCGATCACCAACTGAACCTAGTTACTCACAGCTGCACCCGATAAAACCCCACGACTTATTGACGACTCGAAATATAAAAAACGACCGCTATAAGGAAGGCATTCGATCACAAAGGTCATTAAGGCGGAACATTTAAACACCAAAACCTCAAAGTGGATTTCCTTATACAGTATATATGTATTTATATATATACGGTATATGAGGTAGATTAGCAAAAAAAATTATTATAAAATCGACGACGCTGTCGACTTGCTGCCGAGCTGCAGCCCGAAACATACTGCCCGCGGGCTATTCACTGTCGTTTGTTCTTGACATTCACGATTGGTGACCGGACTTGTGCAATGTCAAGTGCTTCAGAGAAGAGAGGAAATATACGTGGGGTTCGAATGCGACGCTTTGGGAGCTGGAAAAAGAGCAGCAGGCAAAAAAGGCAATAAAACTTGGCTATGCAGTATACTTAAGTTCATTCTGAAAGTTTATTGCATGATGTATTTACAAACTATCATCAGCCTTGAAACCAGGCTTTCAAAGAGAAAAACCAAGGAAAGTTGTTCATTATTGTTGAGCTGAATAATATCCTCCAAAAGGCAAAAGTTCTTGTGTTTGACCCAGCTGATTGTTATTAAAGAACTTCTGCAGTACTTTCTGTTAAGAATTACTTTACTGAGCTGATTCTTGTGTTTTTTTGTTTTTGACACAATTTATTGGCTCTTCCCAAAGTTTTGAGACTTTGGGATTATATTTCTGAAAGGTGTGCCAATGGGGATTGGCACACAGAAATATGAATGGCAAAACCACATGGCAGCAGTTAAGCTGTCAAAAGGATGGTCCCCCTGAAAATTGGCAAGGGTCCCCTGTTTTTACGAGGCACTGAATTACCCAAAAACTTGAAAATTTGAAGCTTTACTGAGCCTGCAACCACCAAAAAGAAAAAAAGGCAGAAGACCTGTGACAAATTTTTTTAAAAGAGGGAAATTTTCTTCTCAAAGAATTTTCTTCTCCTAAAATTCATTTCCCAAAAAACTTGATTTTTGGGAATAGATTTTGTAACATGCTGTATCCCAATAAATTGACCCACTTTTGTAAAAAAAAAAAAAAAGACACTCTGCTGTATCCCAATAGCCCAATTTTGTAAAAAGACACTCTGATAAAAATTTGAGTATGTACATTTCTCTTCCTGACTTTGAATACAATTTTTGCACTTTCTTCAGAGTGTCATTTTTCAATTTGAGTCTTTTCAATAAAATCCTTTGTTTTGTTTTTTAACTCAATATTGTAATTTCAAGCTAGTGTCTCAGAAACAGATAAGACAGGAAACATGGGGTTCAAATGCGACGCTTTGGGAGCTGGAAAAATAGCAGAAAGCAGAAAAAAATGCAATAAAATTTTGCCATAATGAGGGTAATTCTAAAAGACTGCACAAGTTCACAAAATAGCAGCCTTGAAACCCATCTTGCAAAGAGAAAAACTGAAACTTGTTTCTTGATTTTGAATGTTCAGCTAAACCCTCGGATAAAGCAAAAGTCCCTGTGCTTGGTCCAGCTGATTGTTCTTTATGAAATTTTATTTTCATTTTTTCTTACCTCAATTTTGTATAACAATTGTAAGCGTCTCACAGAGAAGAGAGGAAACCTGGGTTTCGAACGCAACCCATCTGGAGCTGGGAAAAAAAAAAAGAATGCAACAAAAAATTCTATAAACTTTTGCTATGTGGTGAGGGTCATTCTAAAAGGTAGGATGTGTTTATGAAATAACAGCCTTTGAAACCAGACTTGCAAAGAGAAAAAAAGTCATCATTGTCATGAATTATGCTGAGGAAAACACTCAAAGACAACGGTTCGTGTGCTTGGCCTATTAAGTGATTCTTCTTTGACCTCCTTGAAATTTTCTTGCGCAATTTTCTTTTTGGGTCTTATAAAGAAAAACGTTTGTTTCGTTTTTGACCGCAAAATGTTATTGCCCACCATGAATATTCTTGATGATTTTTGCAAGAGAGTTTTCCTGCAGAAACCCATGGAGATTTTAATTGAAAGTTAACTTCGATTTGTTCAGAAATCTTTCTGAAATCCATGTGTCGGCTGCCTGAGGACAAATTGGTCGGTTTCATCGGAATCTACTATTGAAACTATTCCTGGATTGAATCTGAGGCTGGGATCTGGAAGGAAATCACTGGGAAAAAAAGTTCCCTTTCATGACACCACTGGATTCCAAGCAATATTTAGTCAGTGGCTTATTATTATGAATCGGAGCAGGAAGTTATCACCGCTGGGACTTCTGTTTCTCTTCAAGTTCCTGAACACTTATCACTTCATTTCATTTACCTTCCAGGGACTTGAACCCAACCTTGTGTCCTTCAAAGTAACTGTACTAATGCCCACCGAGTTTGAATAAAAATAATGAATGAGTATAATAATTGGTTTATTTCTTTCCAGAAGATTTTTTAAGGCGCACATTATTATTTCCGACACTTTTTCCTGTGGAGCTTTTTGATTTATATGAGCTCCAAAAGCCAAGGTTTTTTTTTCATTTAGAATTTATTTCTAATTTTTATAATTTTTCAGAGTTGAGAAATGCTGATTAGAAACCTCATCGGATCAGTAATCAGAAAAAACTGGTCATTATTCCTTCACAAATTACCCAACAAATACCTTTGGCAGTATTTTAATTCAGTGTTCCCCAGCATCTTTTGGCCCACGGACCAGAAAATTCCCATGAAATTTTTTGCAGACCAGCAAATTTCCAAAATATTTCTTGAGCACTGGCAATGTTTCATAAAATTTTTGAAGACTCACAAAAGTTTAGCTTGAAGGTATATTTAAAAGTTTCCACTTTTTTTTTTAATTGAGTTGAGCACCAATGAAGCAGCTATATTAACTGAATGTTTTCAAGAAATTAGAAAAGTAAGCTCAAAGAAAGCTTTTTTGGAATGAGAAATTTGAATAATTTATTTCAGCAGGTGGAAATTTGTCTAAAGCAATATTAAGAGACTTTAAGAAGCCAACTTTTATTTTATTAATATTAAGAATATTAAGAAGCCAACTTTTATTTTTATCAGAAAATTTCAACTGCTTTTGTCTTTCAAAAATTTCAGATAA